CAAACAAATTATACATTATTGACTTCAAACGATTTATAATAAAGTATGTTTCGAAATAAATGCATCGTCTAATAAAGTTTTAAATAAATTATATAGAAAATATATCGGATCACAATTTAACGAGCCCAATTAAGATGTTTAGATTAGTTTTATTGATTTTCAAAAGACATATTATTTATGGAATGTTTCGACATTTGGCTTGGTCCTCCTCAGTTATAAATTAATAAACCCCAAAAAACATACATATTCCTCAAACGCATGGAAAATAAATTCAAAATTAAAACAATGAAATTTGAACAGAATATTAGCCTTACGCATTATCCATTCAGTGTATATACAATAGTATAAAATTTAAAATATGTAAAATTTTCTATGCGTTTGTATGTTTTTTGGGAATTATTAATTTATAGCTAAAGAGAATTAAGTCAAGTCGAAACGTTCCATAAATAATACATCTTTCGAAACTCAATAAAACTGTTCTAAACATTTTAATTGGGTTCGTTCAATTGTGATCTAATATATCTATTTAATTTATTTATTATGCCTATTATATAAGTGAAAAATTTTAAATTTTGTACTATAATAAACTTTTAATTTAATTTTTGTTGCAGCTTCGACACCAGAGGGAGGGATAGTCCGGATCAAGGGAATCACTGGCAAGATCACAGCCTAGAAGGACGTGCGTTCTTTAAGCACTCCGAAATTCCAGCGAAACTCACTTTGGAAAAGGTCCGGGAGAGCGACGCAGCTGTTTACAGATGCAGAGTCGACTTCAAGCAGTCACCGACGCGCAACAGCAAAGTCAATCTAACGGTCATCAGTGAGTTTCTAAACGATATTCCCGCATTGACCTGAATATAAGATGTGCTTGACAATAAAGGGAAGCGAGGCACGTTCCTTTATAACTTTCTCAGACCGCGGCGCGTTTCTTTGAATATGTATTACTCCTTATTTCCATGTATATCTGACAATTCCGATAACGAGCAATCTAAATAAGTAATCTAAAAACATTTAGAAAATCATGTATCGAAAAATAACATATGGAAAGCTATTCTTGATTTTTTCGTAAACAATACCTGTATATTGCATACGCCAATTTAAACTTTCAGTCTGTTCTTAAAGACTAAAATTGCACAATGACAATAAAACAAATTATCATTTTTAAAAATTGCTGAATAAATTTCAATTCAGAAATTTAAAAAATTCAATATCAAAAAATTTCAAATTGTGACATGAAGTAAATTTATCAAATAGAAAACCGAAATCTTCCCTTTGTATCTTTTATAATCGATTAAATCTATAATTTATCGTTGAAAATTCTTAATAATTGAATTCCGAAACATGGAATTATATGACACACCCCGAGGTTATATTGATTAATTTGATATTTGTGCGATCACCGTGCCGTATCTAATGCAATAGACACCGTTATCATCGAATAGCCAGTATCCAACCACCTCGAACACGTTCTCAAAACAGTACATCGGCTGCATTTAACTTTTTCTTTGCATTGCGTGGAGTAACGTTTCCTTTAATGGAAGAACGGTTACGTGACTATGGCTGATAATACCGAGCGAATAGATACCGAGCCCTTTAGTTCTATACCGGTACATTAAAATTTATTTTTCATCTTCGGAAATCCTCCTTAATGGTAGAGGCGGTACGTGATGGCGCAGACTGATACGTCGTCGTGCAAATTGATTCACTTTGTGCTTCACGTTGATGCGAATATTAGTGGTATCGCAAATTCTTTTACGCATGAAATTAGTGCTAATTATAATATACATTTACAAGAGTATAAGTTGAGATTTCGATCGAAAAAGATAAATATAGTATATGAAAAAAATTCTAATTCTATACACAATTCATTTCTCAAATCAATCTTTAAAAGTATAATTTAATATCTGTAAAATATCTGCATATCTATTTTATTGTTCGAATTTTTCTTTCTTTTTCTTTTGTAATACAATATAAAAATATAAAATCTTTTTATATCATAAAAAAAAAATAACCATATGAGATGTAGTTTTATCTGAATTTTTTTCTGTAAATGGTACTATTACGAAAATAAGATGAGAGTGAAATTGATAACAATAATTACCGCCATTCTCTCGACTTCATTAACACTTTGCGTGATAACAAAGTATTTTACGCCGCAGCATACTTGCAGTTTTTGCGGCTGACGTACATTTACGTTAGAATTTTTCACGATCTTTATTCAATTCAGATTAAAATTGCCATTTTGAATTCAGAGATTTTCGTTTTAGATTTAAATTCAGTAGTTTAAAAATATTCCATGAAACAGTTTTCATGTGTCAGTATTTTTTATAACAACTTTACTAAAAGCATTTTTTGTACGTATAACGTACTTTTTTTAACGTATTAATTACATTTCTAAAAATTTTTTTTTTGATCCTTTTTATTTGCATTAAATGGAAATTCGTTTCGCGATATCGCCATAAAGTAGCGTTTCATCTTCTTAGGTGACATTATAGGATTGATACATCGTTGCATAAATTGATTCGTTCTCCCTCCCCCCTCCAGTCACTGTGTTCGCGTTGTCGCAGACATTCCGAAAAAGAAGAAAAATGAAGAGCTTCTTAACGTGAAAATTATTACAGTACCGCCGGAGCAGCTTAGCATATTGGACGAAGACGGAAGGTCTCATATTCCCCATTACATCCTTGGCCCGTACAGCGAAGGAGCATCTCTCAATATCACGTGTGTCGCCGCCGGTGGTAAGTGCATGACACGTCGATGCACTTCCAGTTCGCCTTCTATAACGTTCAGGCGTTATGTCGTTGCCTCGACTTACAGTACTTGAGTTACGTAAAATAAATGTGGCTCAATTTCTTTGACACTTCAGACAAATGTGTTATATGTGGTCTCACGTTTTGAATTTCGAATAAGAAGTAACGCCTTCGGAGGTAAAACAAAGTATAAATATTGGATATGGAATGGTGCAATAAAAATAAAAAGTAAAGTATTTTGATACTATAGGAAATTTAACATTTTTTAATTGATTTGACTGTATAAATATCTATAGAATTTTACAAAGTTTTAAAATTAATTTGCAACATTTACTACTTGTTTTAATCTATTGCTAAAGTCTTTTTTTTATTTTAGTAATATTTGTGTGTTTCTTATATATTTTTTATTTTTAATTAAATTTTCTTTGATTAAAAAATAATTTTTATGTTATTTTTTAATGGAATATTTTTTTCAATTTTTTTATTTTGTTTACTTATTTTTTTTTAAATAAAACATAATGTACACAAAATTTATTTGTTACTCATATTTATCAAATTAACTTTTACAATATTTTTTACAATAGAAAACTTAAAATTTTATAAAATAAATCATTTATTGTAATGATTTTATGATAGGAAAGACATAGTTTTACATATTATCAAAAAGTAAAATATTTTATTTTTTACATTTAAAAAGATTAAACTAAAATATCACAAAGTGGTATACTTTTCCTGCTTTATATTATAATTAATAAAAATATTATCTTTGTATACTAAAAAATAGTGAACATGGTATGTTTTAATTATATATATATATTTTATTTCTCAAATTTAAAATAATTTCTCTTTATTAAATGGTATCAGATTTTTTCGACAATAGTATAAAATATATGCTTAGCTTTCTAAAATGACAAAATTACCGAAATTACAAGTAAAAAAGTACTTCGAATTAACTGCAATGTACATATAAAATCGTTTTATGCAATTAAAATGCGCATAAAAAAGATCTAAAACGGTTGATTTCACAAGAAAATCGAAAAAAAAGTTAAAAATTGCAGCGTACTAGATGTAATTTTTTTAATTTTTTCGATTTTATCGTTAAATCGGTCGTCTCGCCTTTTTTTTGTACTTATTTTAATTGTAAAAGAACTTTTACAATCTATTCAGTCAATTCGGAGTACTTTTTAATCTATAATGTCAAATAATTTTGTCACTTTAGAATCTTCTTAAAAGATTATTTCAAAAAAGATTAATGTGCAATCATATTGTTTACGCTACGCTATTTTGAAATTTCAAATTATATTCTTCCAAAAACTTTATTATTGATTTTAATTTTACTGTAAAGAATTCACTTTTCATATTTCTGTCTATATAATGACATATTAAGAGATTCGAGTGATTAGCGAAACATAACAGCGACGTCATCGACATCATCGACATCATCGTATTCGCAGCTCTGAATTTATGTTTCTTTAGGGCGACCGCAACCACGAGTGACATGGTGGCAGGGAACTTCTCTACTTGATAACAGTTACGAGACTGTGGATACTAAAAGGGTTCGGAACGTACTGCAATTGGAAAAGTTAGGCCGGGAACATTTGCGTGCGTTTCTGACCTGCCAAGCCACAAACAACAACATGGTGACACCGATATCAAGTTCGGTGTCACTCGACATGAATTGTGAGTATCGACAAAATGAGGTGTTACTGTTGCGATAATCTAAAAAGTAAATAAAAAAAAAGGTGACAATTTCTTTTATTTCTTTTTTATTTTATTTTACCTGAATAAGAATATGAAGAGCGCAATTTATTATTATTTCTGTTAATGATGTACGGTTGAATAAATTATGAAAAAGGAAAAGGGAGACACATATAATTAATTTATTACATTGTAAAATGAAAATACACATTCATACAATTTCCAGATAATTACATGTTTTCATAATTATTAATTTAATTTAATTACTATAGTAAATTGTGCTTAAAAATCGTTACGTGTCTATTATTATAATATTGGTACAATTTACCCGAGAAGTGTCAGTGGATTTAGTCTTTACTACAGAAATTTCTATTAGCTTCAAGGCCCGTGCACGGATCGATAGGTGCTTAAATCTGAGTGTGACACACTCTTTTACAGTAAAACCGCTGTGGGTCCGGATTCAAGGAGAGAGCCGACCACTTAGCGCCGGCAAGACCTACGAGATAGGTTGCGAGGTTGTCGGAGCCAGACCAAGCCCGACGATCACATGGTCCAAAGGAAACATGATATTGCGAAATGCACGAGAGACGGTACGATTTAAAATGCATTATCAATGATTCAATGCATTCTCATAAATCACACGTATGACACACTTGTCCTAAGATCCACCTAATGTTTCAGCGGTTATTTTTTAATTTTTTTATTCTTTGATATTTCGAAAATCGATAGAATTACATCAATGTGTACATGAAGAACTGCGTCAAATGAATGAATTCTTCACAAACACTGCACTTTCATGATATTTCATTATATACTGTTAGTTATTGGAGTTGCAAAAATGGAAATGTATTTTAAATCAAAATTTAGAAGGAATAATATTATGAAAATGAGCTGTACTTCTAATGTAAAAATATCGAGCTATACTTCCAAACATGTATTTGGTCATATATATTATAAATATGTAATTAGCCATATAGATATTATTTTAATAGCTCATGTCTTTCTAGATGTTGTAATTTTTATAGCCAGCAATGTGTATTGGATTGAAACAAAAGTTACTTTATTTTATCATGTTTAGTTAAAAAAATATTTTTAAAAAAGTTTAACAATTATACCATTTGAGAAGGCAAATTGTTTTTTAAATCCATTTTTTAAATTATAGTACACAATGATTTTTAACGGAATTATGAGTTAGAATCCGTGATAACTCAATAATAAAAAATTTTAAGAACGATTTTTTTAAAAATGATTTTGTAGAAAAAACTTTAAGCTTTCATGTCAGAAAATTGAAAATATTTACAAGTTTTTTTATATTTATATAATATTTGACAAAATAAGAAGAAAGTTTTTATTTTGTCTAATTCGTAATTTTCTATATATAAAAAACAAATTCACAGAAACTTAAAAAACATAGTAAAGAACATAGACCTTCCAAAAATAGATATTTTAAACTTTAAAACTCTTTTTTATGTGTAAATTTCTTTTATTTATTTTATTTATTTTTAAATTTATTATTATTAAATTTATTATTATTTAACTATATTTAGTTTATTTATTTATTTTAACGAAATTATAGCTGCTTGAATTTTACGAATATTTTTGAGTTTCGTAACGCTATCAACTTTTGTTTCAACTCGATAATAGTTACATAAGCCAATTATTTATTAATATTTACTGACGAAACATACAAAGTTTTATTTATTAATATTTACAAATGAAACAAAAATAAAAAATACAGGAAATTTTATACTGTTATCATCTATCATTAAAAGACGATTTATTACACAATTTATTTGTATTCAGTTTTATCAATAAAATTAATGTATTTATTTTATATATTTATTTTAATGCTTCCTAAAGCAAACATTTCGAAAACATCACCCTATTTATATTTTACTTAATATAACAATTGAAAAGATTTTTAGAGATATAAATATTGGAGTCATATTGACTAATGTATAGATTCAATATCAGCGTAATCATTTAGTGGTTCTAATCTGATCACGATGACGATTCAGAATGTGTACGCATATCGCGATTATTAAATTATTCGGTAAACTGTTTTCAATTCATGAAATCTCGCCAGCAGACAAGTCCCGACGGCAACGTTACAACCAGCATCCTCACATTCGTACCTGGTATCGAAGACGCCGGAAAGATCCTCTACTGTCGTGGCGGCGTGCCAGATATTCCGAATTCGGAGTTAGAGGATGGATGGAAGCTCAATATATTCCGTGAGTATTTTCACAGAAACGCACCGGGATGCCCCCGCAATTTCACATCGCGAATATGTAGAAACACACAGTAGAAACTTCCATCAATGTAATATTTTTATATGCACATTGCGCATGCATACCATTGTACATACGCTCTACAAAGTCAACATTAAAATTTCAATCGAGAATTTATTTCTCTAAACCATTCTTTGTACTTTGGATCTCGTTGCTATCGATGGATTGTTTACGTAAAACATAACAATATTTACCGTTGGGATCAAGTCTAGCTACATCCATAGCGGTTATGTTACTTTATTTTAAAGATTGTAACCTGGAGCCTGAATAGCAATAGATTTTCATGGTTGAGCTGGTTTTTCCTCGGAAAAATTATTAAAATATTTTAATATCAAATATCAAAGGAAATTGCAATTTAAGATTTAAAAGTGTAAATAAATTTTAATTTACTTTTTTTAGAAATAATTTATTTTTTTATAAGTGTGTGTGTGTGTGTGTGTGTGTGTGTGTGTGTAGTTGTAATTATTTTACTTTAACATTAACATTGATTTAAATAGCAAAAATTCAAATTCGACAAAAGTACTTATTTGTGATTAGTTAATATTAATGAATACTTATTTCCTATTGTGTACTCACATGTACGATCCTATAAGATTTTTAATTAATATTGTTAATGAATACCGTTACACAAGATTACTTCATTTTAATAAGAAAATATTGAACTTGTACTACGCACTAAAAATTTATTTTCTAAAAAATAATCACCAATTGTTCAGGGAAATTACGTTTTAAATGTTATATTATAAATTAAAATTCATAAAATTATTTCCTTAAATATTAAATAATCTAATATAACTTTATTTCATATTTAGTAAAAAGTATTAGAAGAAAACTTAAGAGAAAGTAGAGCTAATTCCTCAACAGTACCTTTAATAAATAAATAAAATTATAAAAGATATTTATAATTAATATCATTGCTATTTCGCGGTTGTCAAAAATTTTTATCAGTTTTTTCTAAATGTTTCGACTTTCTTCGATCCACCATCATCGTTATTAGATATCAATAACCGGAAAGTTTACAGTTTTCTGTTGGATTTGCATTCTTTCAAATTTATTGGTACATGAGGGAAATCGGAACCCAACGGTCATGTCGTCGACGGATGTCGATGCCGTCCGCGCCGTAGTCCAAATTGCACCCTCGGTGCAACTTTCCAACGCCATTAATACGCAAAGTTGCAGGACGAATCGCCGCGAAGCGTCGCAGTCGGACGTTGCAGCCGGCCAGGATTAACGTCGTGATTTCACTGTCCAATATAAAAGTTTTCCTCTAACCGGTCCGAACGAGTGAGAACGAGATACAGAAAATAAGGGAAGGCGAGAGGGAGAAGCTACGCGTGGAAATTAATGGCACATGCCGATCCGCCGCGCTGAAGATTCAGTCCGATTACGCGCCGCGTATTCCACCACTTCGACTACCTTGGCAGCCCCATTTTCTCGTCTTTCCACGGTTTTTTCCATTAGTCCGCCAGTAATTCCACGGCGGGCGGTGCTGGGAATGGACGAGGAAATTTACTCTTACTGCATTTATTGTAAACGCGAATCGGCGAATCGGTATTATCGGATTCGCGGCGCGGCACTACCGCGAAAGGAATCATAAGTAACATTCGATACGGATGCGATTTTTTTTTAAAGTAATACCCTGGAATGGGTACCGTACGATGGTCTCTCAATAGGAAAATGTATCGGCACTCGATGCCGTTGACGATTTATTTACAAGAATGCTGAAAAATGCATCCGCACTGCGAATGTATTAATGAAAGCTTCTGAAATATTTTGTCAAAAGATTAATCAATAAACCAATCTTTAATGATTTTTTTATTCCTATTAATTTCCTATTACTCGAATTACGAAGATTCAGAAATATTTAATTCAAAATCTGATGTACATAATAATGTATATATTGGAAAAATAGTTAAAATTTTGAAAAAAAAATTAATTAGTTTTATTTAGTATGAATTACTTATTAAAGTGCCCTTGCATTCTCAAAAAAATTTGTTTAACATGATTCCAATAAAATTAGATTTGAAGGATTTCATGTGATTAACGAAAATTTTATATGGTATAATTCACAAGGTAAATCAAATAGATATTTGTCAGTTAATATCGACGTTAGCATAAAATATCTTATTGAAAGGAGAATTTTTAATTTCCCTTTCGCATCTAAACGTCCACTTATATTTTTCTTCTTCTTTTTCTCTAGACTGATATCTAAATGCTAATAACGTCGATTACAATAATTAAAGTGGCGTACATCTCTCATATTGGCAGATTTCGCACGCTTCAGCTTTGATGTCGATTCTGTTTTCAGACGAGCCTGTGGTTACCCTCGAGCTTGGCAGCAATTTGAATTCGAGTGCTATTCGGGAGGGTATCGACGTTTACTTCGAATGCAACATCAAGTCCAATCCCTGGGTTTACAAGGTTTCCTGGCGCCATAACGTGAGTTCACACACACAGCGCGTATCGCACGGGGCGCAGATAACGAATTCTGTTCAGAAATCGATAATATAAGCCGACGAAGCTTAATCGCGTCGAGATAAGGGCACGACGGCGCGCACCTGCGTCACACAAACTTCTGTCGAAACTCGTGCGTTTGATCTCGAATTCGTATCACCGAAAGCACTGTGCAGAACGCATATAAAGCGGACATTTCTCGTGTAATTACATTAATTTTCAGAAAACAGGTTTTTTAAATTTTCTCGCAATCACTTTGCATTTTAAGGAAAGTAACTTTCTTTGTTTCAAATTAGACCTTTCATAATCGAGACAATATAATTTTTAGGTCCAATTTTTTATTATCTGTTCAACTTGTGTTAAGCTTAACTGATGTTTCACCCAATAAACTTCATCACAATTGAAGTCCATATGGATAAAACATTAGAAAGCTTAGCCATAAGTTAACTAGAAAATAAAAAACCGGGCCTTAACAATTTATTACACATGCATCGATTGTCAATGTTTCATGTTTCTGATTTAAAAGATGCTGAGGTCTAAATTTTGAAATTAAAAATTATTATTATGATCAAATGCACCTTAAAATATTTTCTGTATTATATTGTCTTTCAAAAATATCTTTAAAAAATTCTTATTTTTTATTAAAATTTTTGTATGTTCTATTTCACACTGAGAGAAAAGAATTTGTTAATTTAACAAACTACCTACAACAAATGATTTGTAGATATAGTGACAACAAACATCGGTACTGAAAACGAGGATTCTTCTATGATGGAAACTAATGCTAATCTACTATTCCAATCAATTATTAATAGAAGCAATCATGTATCTGCTGGATAGATTTGTATTTGCTAGCAATACTGATTATTTGCGAAAGATACGAACAACGATTTAGCAATATGTGATTTGTATCATATATTTGTTATATTGATGAATAATGAGAAATGATTCGCAATAATAACTGATCAATTCGTTTTCTTACCAAATCATCACATTTGTTATCATTTTTTTATATATAATAATAATAACAAACTCATTTCTCTCAATGCGTGAATTAGTTGATAAACAGTAATTAGAGATATGGTATCAGTTTATTTAAAAAATGATTAACAAATATTATGTGTATAAAAACGATTCCTCTTTACTTAATATCACGATAATCCCGCGCATATACAAGATTCTCAATCGGAACATCCACACGAGTCGTAGTTTTTTCGTTGACATCATTTTATTTAAATTTATTCTAAACTTGAATATATATATATACAATATTTTTCTTCATTAAAATAATTTGATTGATATAGAACGGAAATAACAGCAAATAGATCAAATTGTAGAAATAAATCGAAGCATTTATTATCAGCGATTAATAAGAACGTCACGAATGTGTTTTAATCCATTCATTCGTTTTGAATGTTTTGTCCTTATCCATGATAAAGTCATAAGCGCGATTGATTTGGAACTGATAGCACAACATGAATCATATATATAAATCAAGATATCTCCTGTCGCAATTAAATGGCCGGGAAGCAATTGCATTCAATCATTCTAAATTCATTTTTAATTCTACGATACAAAACGACTTTTACTACCGTTGAAATACATTCATTCACGACATTTAATAGTCATTAAATTAAAAAGTTGGAAAATAATTCTTTCAAACAAATTGTTAATCTCTTTTTTAAAGTAAATTTATTTAAATGTTACAAGATTTTTTTAATTTTTAATATTATTTATATCATTGTTACTAATATAAATAAATAATATTTTGGAGACATTTGCTAGCAATGAATGTTTTTTTAATAAATAATGCCAATTAATAATTTCTAAATTGTAAGTTTTTAATAAATAAATGCAAACATTGTAGACAAATAGATATATTAGATTCATTTATTTATTAAAAATTTATAATTTAGAATTTATTAAATGACATTATTTGTAAAAAAAAATATAACGCTAACAAATGTCTCCAAGATGAATTAAAGGTAAAAAAATAATATTTCGAAGGAATATATATGTTATAACGTTAAAGTTATTGCGAACTTTGATACCTGTTCGAGCCAATTTCAACGGCTCTTATCGTGAACGAATGTCGTATACGTGAAAACACCGCAAAACACAAATCCCAATCAATTCCCTCGATTCAAAGACTCGAAATTTGTTTCGCGAAAACTCAAAGCCGCTTTTGCAGTCTCGAAAGTTGCACATGCGACGAGGGAACGCGAGAGATCGAAAAACTGTCAGCGTTCCTCGTCGCGAATTTCTCATACAGGATTTATTATAGCTTAGCCCGTATGAAAAAAAAATACAAACACTTTATTCGCATTTTTACAGCGTTAATAGTAAAGTGTATAAGTATATAATTTAGTTAAATAATTTGCAATACTTATATATTAGTACACTGAGAAAAAAATGTTAATTAGTTAATTTTAATAAACATTTAGTTCCATACTGCCAACTAAACATTTATTTACAGTAAGTAAATATTTGTTCAATAAAAAAAAATGATTGTTAAATCAAATTAACATTTCTTGTCTCAAATAAATATATCTTTATATTTAATAAATATTTGGTTGGCAATATTCAACTAAATATTTATTAAAATTGATTATATATTTTTTTCAATATGATTATTTAATATTACATTGCCAATTTTTTGTTTCAAAATTTTTATAGGAAAAGGAATATTGTTCTGAAATTTATTTTTTTTTCTCGTAAATACATTTTTTAATTCACGGTTCACCAAATATCTCTTGTAAACTTAAGTAGTCTATTGCACTCCGAACTATGTTCGCGAGTTTGTTCATAGTATCTGAGTAAGCATGGTTCCGTTTGATTTCGCATTCGCAGGGCAATCCGCTATATCACAACAGAGCGACTGGAACGATAATAAGTAATCAGAGCCTGGTGCTGCAAAGTGTCACTCGCAGTAGAGCTGGGATTTACACATGCATCGGCAATAATCAAGAGGGCGACGGCGAGAGCAATCCACTGAACTTGGACATAAAGTGTGCGTATCTGTTATACATACACATATATATTTCCCTCATTTCCCGTCATTCGCCATAATCTACATTGACATTCTAATTAAGTTAAATTATTCTCGGATTATTCAATGATAATCCAGTGCCAACGTATTTAGATCCTGCATGTTTTTAAATCAACGATCACTTTTACTAAGTAAAGTATATACGTGGTAGATTTATCAAATCTTTTTGGCATCTTTCCAATACGCAAATGCCCGGAATATATTATGCTCAAAATTTATATAAAAATCTCAAGCGACAGATTTGTACAATAATATAAATGAAAGTCTTTCTAAATTCATATTTAGAGAGAGAACGAGATTCTTCGTTCTTCTTCAGTATTCAGAATTTGTATACGAAATTTCTCAGTGTTATCAACTGAGAAATGACGGTTTTAACTGAAATAGAAACGAGGGAATGCGCTGTGTTGTCCTCCGAATCTAGAGTCTCTCCGGACCAGACACTAGAGTTAATTTCTGTGTCACTGCATTCACCGCACTCTGGCACGTAACTGATACTGACACACCGGTATGCGGATCGACGTTAAATCAGCTTAGGGGCACGCTTTGTTTACGAGAGGACATAAATCCGACGCGTAGGAGGATCCGCGCATTCGGAGAAGGTGCAGCGAGATTTCAGCTTCATATCGACGTTTAATATCTCGGCATCGTACACTATAAGAAAACAAGGTTTCATAAAGGTTTCCGAGGCGAAAGCCGGGCGACCGTAAGGCAATTTCGTATGCACGCGTTAACTTAAACACTATAAGTAAGTTTTGACAGCTTTTTCAACGCGTTGTAAAAAAGATTACAACCTGATATTAGTTTGAAACGTTATGAGTTATAAAACTTGAGATGCTATGAATATAACAGCGAAATGTGTTGCATAATGAATTGACAGATTTTATAAGAAATTAATAAATATTCAGATTGTACAAAAACAACATTTTTATTATCTCGTATCTTAAATTAAAGACTTTTTTATTTTTCTCATCTATTTTATTTAAAAGTTATAGTTTGTTATCAATGTAAAAAATTTTTATAAATCTTAAATTTATTAATCATTCATGTGTAATATCTTTCATTCAATGATGAAATAATACAAAATTCTAGATTTTAACGAAAAGCATCACCATTTTTACTGTACAACTCGCTAAGAATTTATCACAATGATATATGTATACACGTTGATCTATTTTTGTATTTTCTAAGTAAAATACTTTTCACCGTTTAGCGAGCATTAAATCATTCAAAATGCTTTACGTAGGAACATACCCATACGTGCATAACCGACCAACCCTGCCTTAAGTTTGTATGTATAACTTATGACTGACTGACATGCGCTACCGTTTATATGGCAGATGCGCTCATCAGTATTTAGTGGCTTTAATGCACATAAATTATCCACGACTAATCCATGCATGGATTAATAGTTGATTAGTACTCCATGCATTCTCTCTCTCTCTCTCTCTCTCTCTCTCTCTCTCTCTCTCTCTCTCTCTCTCTCTCTC